AAAAAAGTGGGTCTGTAACATGTAGATGTGCACCTCGTATTTTGGTTGCAATCGGCGGTCGCACCAACGTATTATAATATATTTATATATATATATCCACTCTGTTACCCCCGGCTCAGTGATCTCAGTTTCTTTACTCTTATATTTTTGTAAATTGTACATTTTTTGCTTTAAAAATGATTGTATTATGTTGTTTTTATCTTCCGGTTAAGTTGTTTATGCCTTTAGTAAATCTCTATGCAATAGTTTTAAAATTATCAACAATTTTAAAGTTGTTTAAGTGCCGCTAAGCCTAATACTTCTCTTGATGGCGGCCATTGATGTTTACATTTGAAACAGGAGACTAGTGGATTTGTTGCCAATCTAGAGAAACTTATAGTTTCACAACAACAGAGATAACGCTCTTTAATTTACCATTGATTTATTTAACAGTTATGTTTATATATATATATATATATATGTAAGATATAACAAAATGTGATAGCTGTTAGTAAAATGTGAAAAAAACAGTAAAAATTAGATGAAAACTCCATTGATAATATAAATTACTTAACATGCATTGTTTCATAGGGAAGGTACTGCATATATATATATATATATACTATATACTTCACATAATCAACCAGCCACGTTCTTGAGTATTCAGCTTGAAGTTTATGTATAGTAAATAAGTTAAATTAATAATGTTATTTGCTTAGTTACTGTCGAAAATTTGGTTTCATAAACTTCTTATGGCTAACATACCGCGAGAAGGCCAATACATGTGGGATTCAGTATCCAAAGCATTATAATAATAATAATAGTGATTTCAAAAATACCAAAAATCTGAAAGGTTTCAGATTTTAAAAATTACGTCCAAAGGGGCGTTTTTTTAACATTTTGTGTGCTACCTTTATTTATTAAACATCATGTTCTTCGCACTTAAACCATAAAATTCAGTTCAAGAGCAATATCGCAAAATACTTTTAAAATGTGCATATCTTTAGAATTTTCGATACACAGTCTCGCGCGCTGGAGATAAAAATGTTTTTCCTGTACAACGTTGCCATTGCTCGCTTTGAAATCCTTGAGATTTTTAATCAGAAATTTGTTAGCGTTATACAAAATATTAAATTGATAATAAAACAAATTCCAAATTTCAAATTTGGGCTTCCAGATACCCATATTCGCAGTAGGATTACGTAATTTAAAATTGGGTGGCTGTAGGCACCGTTGTTTTATCACAATGCGAGAAACATACATACATTTATGCAGATTCTTCATTATTTAATTTCTTTAAACACAATACAGGGCGATAATATTTGGTGGCAACAATTTGAAAAGTGAAACAACGCTTGTGGTGAATCAACACAAAATGTCAAAACGAAATTAATAGTCCTTCTGGGCAAATTTTCCCTTTGGACTTAAAAAAAAAAAAAAAAAAAAGCCCAAGTAAAAAATACAACACATCTTTTTTTTTTTTTTCTTTTCGTATCACAGAATAGAATTTTTTTATACTTTTACATGGATAATAGCGTAAGAAAACATCAGATATGCTTTGCATTGTGAATCATAAAGTGTGTGTGTATATATATATATCAGCTTTAGACTGACAGCGTAAATGTAACTTGCAGAACCAATATATTACATGTGATCAAAAAGATGGAATATAAATGTCAAAATTTTGTGGAAGGATGCAGAAAAACGCAGTGAATTGAACGCACATGTCCAACAGGATATGCTAAAAAATGAAGAGGTGGATCTTGGGCGATCCGAAGTACATTTCCATTGCAACCCACTAAGACACGCATAGTAAAGCTTTTTGCAGATAGTGAACAGCATCACTGGGACGAATCGGCTTTATCACGGTCAAGGAAAGCAAGGTCACAAAGCAACCATTCTCCTCGTGCCGTTTTACGCAAATTCAGTTTTCGTTTTTCATTTTACTTTCTTTCTCTTTCGCAAAAACAGCTGTTTCTGAAACATCGGTACAAGTTATGTTGTTACCAGGTCCACAAACCCCACTACTTAGCAATTTTTTCAATCATTCCCGAAATGCTTAAATTTGGTAACAAAGAACATTAGAATTGAAAATAATAATGATATATATTGTATGTACATATGATCAATATATACTAATAATTAAATCAAAATTGGTATTTAACAATCTGACAGGAAGAACATGCATCAAAATTGGAACCAAAGCAAATATCTGGATCTCTTATATAAACAAATATTCCTTAAATCTGGATGATTATAAATACATTACTTTGTATTTATAATCATCCAGATACAAAATAAATCATTATTTTGTGTTGTTATTTAAGTAAGTGCTAAATAAAAAACAAATTAAATTAATTAAAAATAATAAGGTAAGGCCACTAAAATAAATTATAATACTAGTAAAGAATGCAATAAAATAACGCATAATTCTTTTTTTAAAAAAAATCACGAGTATTTAGTTTTTTAAATAAATCATCAAGATATAATCTGCTTCAACGTGACTCTAAACAAAAATAGTTTATAAAAATTAAGCATTATAAAATAAGAATTTTCAAAATAAGAAATAGCTAATAATTTTTTAAAATCTGATCTAATCTTTAAAAATTTTAATATACATAGTTTATCAGTAGAGATTATCAACAGAAATTGCCCAGGTGAAATAATAAAACATACTGTAGGATACTAGATGAATAGACGTTTAGACTAACATAGCAGCGCTACATATCTTCTGTATATTTGAAAAACAAAAAAAAATATATATAACGTAATTTTATAAAAATATGGTACTTTTCCGTTGTATACGGGCGCCTCGAAAAAACACAGTTAAAGTGTAATAACGTGCCGAAGACAGCAACAATGTGATCAGTTCAGTCATTTTTTTTTTTTTTTTTTAGAACTGCACGAAACATAATTTGATAGACGGCAGACGACTTTCTTCGTGTACACTGAGAAAAAAAAACAAAAGATCAATTCTATATCTCCCGATCTACTGAGCCGATTGACGAAACTCAAACTGCGTTTTTCATGTCTTGAAAGCGCAACTTAAGATATGTATTAGATTTATATATAGCACTGTTCTAATATCGGTATTTTGACGCAAAAGCGGACGTTTTCTGAAACAACATGCCAATTTTTTTCCCTATTTCGATTCTACGACTCAAATTATGCCAAACTGCCGAGTTTTGTAGAAACTGCAAGAGTAGTTTTAAAAAAATTTCCTCTCAAATTTTAGCTTCTCAACGTTAATTGAATTTGGTATATATTTGTTAATATCTTTTTTTTTATTAAATTTATTTTATTCTTCCTTTCACATTTCGAAATTTAGGTTTATTACAAATAAAATTTGCCCATTTTTTATAATTTATTTTTAAATAATTTTTATAAACGTTCCGAAACAAATTTTGAATCATAACCTATGAACTTTTTAAAATCGCCTGATAATTTCTAGGCACACCTGCAAAAAATTACAGTTTTTATTCAAAATATTCTAAGATAAACATGAATTTACAAACTGGCACTTTTTGAAATTTGACATATTTGTTATAAGTGATAATAACACCAGATGTGGCTTACGCACTTTGTTAAAATTATTCGAAAGTATGAACGATGACTCATTTCCGCTCGTCTGCAATCAAAACAAGGAAAGGAAAATAGATTGTTATAAATAAGAAATCCGCCAAGTAAATTATTCTTGGCGCAAACTTAAAAAAATTGCGCCAAGATAAATTTTTGAATTTCTCTGTAAATTTCGTACCAAATATTGCAAAATTTAATATGTAGGCATAATTTCAGTCGTAGATTCGAAGTATGGAAAAAATTTTCCTTGTCATTTCGGAAAAAGTCCGATTTTGTGTCAAAATACCTGTAATAAAACAATGCTATATATAAATCTAATATATAGCCTAAGTTGCGCTTTCGACACATGAAAAACACAATTTGAATTTCGTCAATCGGGCCTGTAGAACGAGAGACATAGAACTGCCCCCCTTTTTTTTTTTTCCGCAGTGTACATTATTTGACTAAAAGCATTTTTTTTTGGGGGGGGGAGGAGGGAAGAAAATGGATTTCACAATCTGAGATTAAACCCAAAGACGATAAGGAGACACTGAAATCACTACAAGATAAAGGAATTCTTCATGGGCAAAGATTTGATAAAAATAATCAGGAAATAATGTTGTGTTTTACCAATTACCATACACCAAAATGGTGTTCAACCTTAGATACTGGCGAGAAAAAACAGGTGCCATATCTCACATTTGGTTTGAAGGATCGCGCCTAAATTTCCTTACAGTTGCAAAATTTATCTCCTGTTGGTACCATGAACTGAACTCAGTTGAGTTTTCTAATATGCAGTTAAAAAGGACGTCGACTGGAACAATTACATGCGGAAGGTTTACGTTCACGCCTTGTTGTGTAGACCTGAAGTTAAAATTGGTGGAAATAACACAGCAGTAGAGGTTGACAAGTCTTTTTACGAGGCGAAACAGTACCGTTGAACATTCTTCCTCTACAGGGCAGGAGACAAGAGACCACTGGGTGAGCAGCTGTGCCGCCATGAAGACTTTCAGCTTTACGGTCGTGTTTCCGTGAAATCCTTGATTGTCATTTGTTTAACGAAAACCCACAGTAATTCGGTGAATAAAATTTAAGTGTTAAATTTACAAAACTAAGTAAAATTCAAATGAAGAACTGTTTTCATAGGCCATGAATTCAACATAAAATAAGAAATTGTTTATTTATTTGTTATTAGTTTTGCTTTAGATAGTTGTGACCTAAAATAATCTTTTTATAAGGTATTTTCTCCCTCCAGCATTCGTGATGAAACGGTAGCACACTCGGCGCGTATTCCAGAAGTCCAGATTCGAGTCGTCCCGGCGAGGGCCTTCCCGAACTAAAAGGTGGTGGATGATGGTTGTTGAACACCAGGGTTTGGCAATTGGGTCCCCTAACCTCAGTCGCCCTTTAAAAGAGGCAATATATAAGGTATCAATATCAGAAGTGGGCGCAGTCCGACCCACCTAACCAAAGAAGTATAGTATTATAAGGTGTTTTCTCCTTCCATCCAGCATGCCATCATGGTGTAACGGGTAGCACATTCGGCGCGTATTCGAAAGGTCCAGGTTCGAGTCCCGGCGAGGGCATTGCTCCTTTTTCTTGTCTCCTGCTTCAAAAATCCTGTTGACTGTACATTCTAAAAGAAAATTTAAAACGTGATATATTAAAAACTATTTCAATACAAGGTAACTATAATTTGTCGTATCAATTTTTTTATTAGATTTGTACAGCTAGTATTCGCTAAAAAGCATCTGAAATAGAATATGATAAAATAGTCAAGCGAAGTAACTAAAGAATATTAGGAAATGAACCAACTAAATGACACAAAAACTTGCTTGTATTCAATTTCCTAAACCCTTTACCCCCCCACCCTTTTTTTTTTTTTTCGGTGCTTTAGTTATTGATGCTTTTGAAATTTCTGATTCTTTACGTTAAATTACATCTTTTTGTATCCGCATTAAGAGCTAAAATTAAAATGCCAGAACAAAAAAAAAATTATTATCTGAATGAGAGGAATCACTCTGACAGGATTTCATGTTACTATTCGAAGAAACCGAATGGAGGTTTTTCGATTGTGTATGAGGATAAAATACGAATGGCTTTTCCTTGAATCTATTTTTTTTTAACCTATATTCATTTTAGGACTACGTTTGCCTAGAATGCAGCAATTTCAGATGAAAAAGAAAGATATTCTATAATAAAACGAAAGAGATCCGAAACAAATATCAGTAGGAAAATTCAGAAGTAAATTAACAAATAAAATACGTTTCAGTAAACAACAGGACATCTAGATTATGCAATGTTTTCATAAAGATATCATAATTCGCTGTAATAGTTCTAGTTATGAATAATTTAAGCATAAAGTGCGGCGTGAAATCAGTAATACCCTTCTCAAAATGGAGCAGAAGTTCGGTTTATGTGCCTACATACGAAACCCTTTTTTCTAAATACATAAAATTTTAATTAAACACACATGTTTTTAAGTAAAATGCGATATAAAACTATGAATTTAAATGGAATTTTATAGAACGTTTAATTAATTTTTCAAATATAGGCAATATTTAGTAAAATTTTCATTTACGCCAGATCTCCTAAAATAAATTCTAATGAATATACTTCATTAATCTTTACACAGTATATAATTAACATACTTACCTGTGTTCTGTAGCAAAAGATTTGCAGTATTTATAAATTTTTTTGAAATATTCAAAACTTGGTGCAAAAACTCAAAATTTAAATAAAAAAATCCTCTTTTCTTTCAATAAATAAATACAAAGAGGTCAGATTTTGCTAAAGAACACATGTAAAGATGAATTAAACATTTTGGCAAAATTTCCTTTCAATATTCTAAATACATTTTGAGAAATTAACGTAATCACAATCAAAAGTAACGAAAAACCCAATTTCTCAGAAAATGCATTTAAAGATTTTAATACAGCACAAAAAATTTTGTAGTCACTTTAGACCTTTAAAACTCGCCGTATTTGTAGGTTAGGCCCTCTTTTACTTCATTCTTAACTAATTTTGACTTCCATTTACGAATTTTACGAATTCATTTACGAATTTATTTTGACTTCCATTTTTACATTGTTTACATGTTTACGATTTTGACTTCCTTTTAGCATTTTACTGGTTAAGTTTGCTGCTTGTAGAGATTGGCGTTTCTATTTCTGAATTTGCTGTTTGTCTATTCCCATGTAGCTTTCAAGCATAATGGGATTAATTTCTATTTCTATATACCTGAAAATAGGTAAAAGTCCTAAATATCTTTAATTAAATAATAATACAGCAGTATCTGCACATAAAAGCAATGTTTTCAGTTGGACAAAAGTTTCTTTAGGTAAAATATACCTCAAAAGGTTAATAAAATACTCGTTATTGTTTTGAGTCTTCCCATGTAGGCATTTTATCAGCAAAGTGTCACACAGTGAAAGATGTGTTGTTTTTACAGCTTTTATATATTGTTTAATAATTAGAAAATAGTTGTTTAAACTTATTGTTTACATTTTTACGACCATTTAAATGCTAACTTCCGGCATCCAAAAATTCACTTCCGGTTCACTTTTTATACTATAACTTTGCTTCTATTTATCGTAAACACAAAAATACATTTCTGGAAACCTAAATATATGCCCTATAAAATGAATAAATAAAAAATTTTCGAAAATTTTCACCAAAACGACGAATTTAGGGTAGGCACATACCTTAACGTAATTAGAAACACCAGAAATGTAACCTTACGTAAAATAAAATTAAAAAAAAAAAATTCACACTTCTGGCAATTAAGGGGGGGAATAAATGAAAAAATTAAAAAGAGGGGAAAAAGCATAATTTTACGTTTTTGAAAATAAAGTTTAAAAATATGTTATAGATACGAAGACAATTTTAGTTGTCTATGCAGATGGCCACCATAGAACGAGACTGAAAAGTGATGTTTATTTACATTTTAAAGAAATAACGGCCATTTAGAGAGGTAGCCACTTACAAGATATATCGTCACGAAGTTATCACTTTGAGAGTTTTCATTGCATGTTCTCTGAAATATTAGTTAGTTTCAGAGAATGTTTAGTACTGAAAAAGTAAGAATTTTCTTAATTTATGTACTGAACCTCACGATGAAATAATAATATAATATATTACTGCGTTTCCGTTAAAATATTACATAATCTAAAAATAAGCCCTAGCATGATTTTTCGGGATACGTGTAATATAAGCCGTACTCCAAAATAAGCTCCTATTAAGATCGTTAGGTCTCCAGACGTACTGGCTAATGACCAGACCGACCGAAAGCGGCATACATATGCATTTCAAACTATAACAGACATACTCAACGCTCTCATTTGAAATAATAGGCTAGAGTTTTTCATCGCCACCATTGTGTGGTCTATCAACTTTTGTTGCCACTTCTGTCTTGTAAATCTTCAGTTAACATTTGATTTAATGATAGATTTAAAGGGAATAACATTTTGATCCCTAAACAAGATAGTTGAAAAAGAAACATATATTCGAGTACAAGAATGGAATCGCGGAGAATCCCCGGGCCAAGAAAAATTTACAAACTTACTTTTGCAAAGAGAAGATTGATTTTCAAATGGCCCAAAAACGCTCAGTCAACATGTGGACAAATAAAATGCTAAGAATCGCAAGAGTGGATCAAGTCAGCATCCAGCATTTCCTAAACTGGAAGACATCATCTGTGAATGGATTGCTGACAAAAGAGCAGACGTTTTAATTGCTAGCAGTACTGATATTCAAACATTTGCCTTTGCAATGGCACCACAGTTAAGACAAGCCTCAGAATACTTTATTCGGGGATATGAACTATTTCTAAGACGGTTGATATGGACGCTGTTCAAAGTGGAAACTACAAAGTTATTAAACATGCGCTTACATGCAAGTCTTATTTTGATGGCATCGACAAATATGAGATCTCCACCATGATTGCTATAGGGGAATTGTTTTGAGGTTAAGGATTTCAAACGGCAAGTGATCAGAAGATGTGTCTCGTCAATACCCTTCACCAGTTATCAAAGTGCATCCATTACTTATATTTTGACAATTCGTCTAGATGAAAAGGAAGCCATGCCTCTAATCATCACTGAGGGCAAGAAAGATAAGACTGAACATGTTTTATGCATTTAATGTTCTTGAAACCGAAACCGCCTGGTGCATGCAAGCAGCTATATGGAAGTGATTCGATTTAATGTACAAATTTTTTTCGGGAGTTGGGGGGACAAAGAAGTCTGCTAATCTGGCATCCAACCTGTATTCACCCCATTAACATGAAGAACATACTTGTAGAAAGACGAATACATCAAACGATTACTGCGGTAATGATTTCAAGCTCTTGATTCCTGATGTTGCAAAATCTCCAAATTCTTGATATTGTAATAAAAAAGCTATTTCCGGAACATCTGAGAATGGAAATCAATGACACAGAAAATAGGATCTACATTGAAAACAGAATACAGAAATTTCAGCGTGAAAACTTTGTTAAGCTTAGCTTGTCCAAGTTCGTAACATGGAGATGAATTCATGGGATATAATCACTGACAGCTGTGTTGCCAATGCCGTATGTGCAGGCTAGAAAGACAAGAAGTGCTCACTTAAGGATAGCTATATTGGTACACATGACAGATTAAAGCTGGTGGTTCGAAAGAAAATAGGCGCTCAAGAAAATAATCCGAATTCAAGACGGATGAACGAATGATGGATGATGAATTCAATATGGATGAATAGATCAAGCCCGAATTCAAGATGAATGATTTGTATGAATTCATGGGATATAATCACTGATAGCTTTGTTCCCAATACTGTATGTGCAGGCTAAAAGGACAAGAAGTGCTTATTTAAGGACAGCTGTATTGGTAGACATGACAGATTAAGTCTCGCGGTTCGAAAGAGAATAGACTCGCAAGAAAATCAAGCCTGAATTCAAGATTTAGGGCTTTATGACGTTGATCTAGAAGATAACATGACTGTATTTAATTAAATGTAAATTTTTGTACACAAATAAATATCGATTTTTGTGTGCGAGTATATATATGAAAAATATAGATTATTATTAAATGGATAAATATTACCTTAATTCCTCGTGTATTTTACCTCAGCCTTTTAGCGCCAAGTGCTGAAATTTTAAAGAATATTCTCCCCTCCCTCAATGAAATGATCTTATTAGATATTGTAACGTTAATATTACTATGCATTCTTATTGAAATTCAGGTTTCTTTTAAAGAAATAATCTTGTGTACGGTAATTGTTATTCATGAAAATAAGATATCCACTGAAAATAAGTCCTAGCATATCTTTTGGAGCAAAAATAAATATAAGATCTGGTCTTATTTTCGAGAAATTCGATAGTAATTATACAACTTGAAATAAATTGAAAATAATCATGTTCATCGTTTTCCACCATTAAGACATTGTTAAGCTCGTGGGAGACTAGTAGAAGAAGTTGGCAACTTTACAAAGTGTGAAAAATACAATTGATATTTAAGAACATCAAAAATATTATCTTTCTTGTATTGCTACATTATATACGGTATTTTAGAGCCTTTTCTTTCAGTGTTACTACACGTTAAAAAGGTTTACTTTGCTTGAACTTATTGAAGTCCATCTAATGACCATCTTAT